AGAGCATACCCATATATATATATATATATATATATATATACACACACACAAACTAATTTTGCAGACCCTATCCCTCCGTAGTCTTTCAAGTAGGAGGAGAAATGCCAGTGTTCTCCTCCGGTTTACAGGCACTGTGTAAATTATATATATAGAATAATTATGATGATGAATGCATTTTTTACCACTAAAATACAGCAACACATCTTTGATTCATGTCGTTTATAACTGGAATAATATTAGTATTATTAACTTTGTCTGTACAAAGTAGCCTGTCCAGGAAATATGCCCAAATCAACAAAAACTGCGAGCCGGCAGGCAAGACGCTCCGCTTCTGAAATGCTTCTGAAGCGCGCCTGGTGGGTTATGACGCTAGAAGAGGTCTGACCAAAACCGCTGCGCAGCCGTAACGCTTCCAACGCTTCCAACGCTTCTGCCCATTGACTTTGAATGGTGTGACGTCACTTTTCCTCGCTTTTCGCCGAACTGCATTGTGGGGAAGCAAAGCGAAGATTTCCAGGATTTCCAGGATTTTCAGGATTCAAAAGTTGTTCAACTTTTGAAGCTGAGGTGGAAGCGTCAGCCAATCAAATCCCGTTTATGCAAATCTGACAGTACAAGCGCTAGCCAATCAAACCGCGTCCAAGCTGGGAGGGCCAGACCGCAGTTCATTTTCTATATTCCTGAAAATGCAGGAGAAATTAGTTATTGCGGTAGCGAATCACCCGGTTCTTTATGACCAGTCGCTAATAACTTACCGGGATACAAACCGGAGGAACCAGGCATGGAGGGAGGTGGCAGAGACAGTGGGTGAAACTGGTAGGTTTTCGACTGTTATATCCAGTTTACTTCGTTTAAACATTGCTTTGTATGTCGGGGGCGGGAGATTCATGTGATTGGTTGTTGGTCGCGTTGCTCGCAAAAAATCCCCAAGCTTCAGATACGCCCACCTCCAAGATTTTTTTTCGCTGCTGTGTGGACGTACCGTTACGGCTGCGCCGCGGCGTCCGCTAGGATCGCGGCCACTCTAGTCAATGGGTGCTATTCCACCAGACGCGCCGCCATACTTGCCAACCCTCCCGATTTTCCCGGGAGACTCCCGATTTCATTGCCCTCTCCCGGTTTACTCCCGGAGTCATATTTATCCCGCATTTCTCCTGATTACTGACAAAATCAGATTTCCTCAGGATTGTTTCCACTCTGACTTTAATACAGCTACACCATTGTTTGGTTTCCATGGTAGCGCGTCTCTTTAGTCGTGCGTGCAACTGAAAGTCTGAGAGGGTGAGGCAGATAGTCACAGAAAACTGAACAAGAATCGACAACTCGACCCTCTGCTCACTCCTTTCCTGTTGTTAATGTTAATCTACAGCTCCGGCGATCCACTAGCGAGTGCTCGAGTGCGCTAGAATTTGAAAATACACAGCCGGAAAAAATCTGCCACTTCCTTACAGAGCCCCTCCTCCAACACACACGAACGCACACATGACCAATGAGGGCACAAGATAAGTTTGTGCACAGATGGAAGGCTGACAGGCAGGTAGGCCATCCAGTTATTTTAGGCCTGGTGCTACGGCTTCCATCAGATGAAATGTTTTTATTAGGATTTTTTATCAAAGCACTGCAGATATTCATTGCTATCGGGATGTTAAGAGCATTCCATGGAATATAACAAAAAGTGTATCTCGAGCTGGTTTCTCAAACTTACCTACCCCACATTTAATCCCAATTATTAGCTTAGTTGTTAAAATATGTAAAGTTCAACGGCCCAGATGTAGGTTAATTTGTATGATAGTTTGTTAACTAAACGCCATCAGTAACTACAACAGCTCCTTTTATCAGGCACTAAGGATTTTGAACTAGATGAGAATAAAGCAGGATAATATTCCGTGCTGTGAAAACCGTCACACTTTTTTCAGCTCAGCTGCCAGTGGAGCCCTCGGCATAGATGGAAAGAAGCTCTAGAGGGTTCAAGAACAGCTTGCTCTCTTACTGTGGAACATAATCACCACATTTGTAAACGTAAAGCAGGGCTTTGAATGTAACCATTCATCTTCAGTTAGCATGTTGTCGTTCAGACATCAAGGCTCTCCAAGGCCTGCGCTCAACACGGCAACCTGTATTTCTGTTAGAGAACCCAAAAGGCTCTGCCACAAAGTGCCAAGTAGCTCTGGGTCCTGATGACAGGCAACAAAGAGCAGGCTTGCAGTTGGCATTAAAAGTGTCGAGGCATAGCAACAGTTGTTACTTCAGTTTGCCTTGACTGTGTTAACAGACTGCGTGCCACAGTCATAGCAGCAGAGAAGGCGTAATAAACAAGCAAAAAATCCCATTTCCTCCTTTGAAAATTCAATCCCTTCATTTTGATTGTGTGTCTTGAGAATATGTATTGCTAACCAGACATCAAACGGGTTCACAGAACATCTGTAATTTCCGATGTTGAAATAACCCGGTCAGAGCGGGGTCACGTTACAGTTCAGCGTTCAGCTCTGTGGAGACTGACACTGAGGACGAGTGTAAATATGACCAGTGCATTAGTGATGATAAAGCTGGTGAGTAAACTTCATAAACTTCAGTGTGTGTGTGTGTGTGTGTGTGTGTGTGTGTGTGTGTGTGTGTGTGTGTGTGTGTGTGTGTGTGTGTGTGTGTGTGTGTGTGTGTGTGTGTGTGTGTGTGTGTCATTTAATAAAGTGGAAGGTTTGCTTCCTGCTGGCCGCAGCAGTCAGCTGACAGTGTGCTACAGATTCTGCACAGCTCTTCCCTGTATTTCATATATTTCTCAGTCTGACTTGTCTAACAATATTAATTGTACGAAAACAAAACACAACGTATCATCAACCTAATTTGCATTTTCTGAACTCAGCGTTTCTATGGTTTCTCCAAAGACAGCTACTGAACACAATAAACAAGGACACACACACCTTATCTCTGAAACCTTTACAGCAGGTAATGCACGTTCAGCATAATTGCTACTTATGGTGTTATCCAACAAATACGATGAGAGGAATTTCTACCTTTCAAATTATTAAAATAACATTAAAGGAAACCTGTATCTACCAGTACAAACTCAGGAGAGTCTGTTTACAGTATCAATGTTCTTTTTCTTGTATTCCATGTTTCTCATCATTTGTACGGGATTTGCACTACACTGAAACGTTGACTTTAATGAAATGTATTACAGTAGGTTAGTTGAAAGCAATAATATCAAGTTTCAATAATAATATTAGGTATATCTTAATATTATTGCTTTCAACTAACCCAATACAGTTATGGGAAATCTGTTGACATACATTTGATTAAAGTCAAGGTTTCAATTTTTCCAGTGTGCAATGTCTCTGTTGGTGTGCATTGTTTACAAAGCTGATCAGTAAGAATGGGCTCTTACATGTACAGATCTATCAATTGGAATCCCATAAAGCAATTTACCATTGGAAGATTATGTAAAATAGATAACATGCTGTAAACTATAGGCAATATTATTCGCACGTTGCGGCACTGAGTGTGTGATGTTTTTTGGGAATGTGGACACGGAATACATCAGTCTTTTCTCCTGCTCAGCCATTGTGTGTAGCTGAGAGGCCAAGACGCTGCATCCTTGTTCTATTTAGGCTGGGCTCTGCGCGCAGCCTGAAAAGCCCGGGTTCCCTTTAGTCGCTCCCTTTTTAGCCTCTTTTTTACCTTTCTCAAACAATGGATCCTGCCTCTTTTCAAGCAGCAGCCCCCAAACACTCAGTGAATAAAGTTAGTCCAACATGCGCCCTTAAACCCACCCCGAGACTGCTGCTGGGCAGCCACACTCACAGAATTGTTTGTTAATAGTCCAATTAGATAATTGCCATCTTTCACTCCTTTTCCTCTCTGTTTCCCATAAAGGCATGAATGGCACTCGGGGAGGGGGGCAGATTGAAGAGGGCTTCTGGCCAGCTAAGGTGACAAGAAGGGCTAGAGAATGCTCCTTGCACTGGGCCACCGGTTTGAATTGAATCATTGTGGCCTAATCAATGGTCTTATTGGATTACTGGCCACTGCTGTGTTCAGAGATATTGTTGCACTGACAATAAAAATAGCTAAGGGTTGGTGGTTGGATGGGTGGGTGGGTAGTGGGCTGGAAGCGAGTGGTGCAGAGAGGTAGGGGCCATTCCAGAGGTATGCGTGTGAGAGAGAGAGTGTAGGCAGCCTAAACACTAATGACAAGCTTTGTTCCCCTTTTTGTCTTTTCCAAATGTGCAGGTTAAGATTATGAGAGCTGAGGATGGCCTCCGGGGTGCAATCATTTGAATACTGAAGGATGTGGCGTTAGCGGCCTGGACCTCCATAGGTAGGCGCGTAGTATCTGAATGAACACGGAAACTTTAACACAATCAGTGTTTTAACTGGCCGTGTCGTGGACGCCTTGATACTTTCTGATCGGCGAGGATTTGTTGGTTATCCTTTTCCGCTGTCTCTCTCTCTCCCAATCTCTGGCTCGCTCCCAGTGTCTCCTGCCTACAAGAGCATAGTGGTGAGATCCACACATTGCAGAGTTCCATTGATTAGTGAGAGAGTCAAAGGGAAAAACAGGATTAAAGTTTCCTGACATGCTGTGGCAATCAGGTGCGCTGTGAAAAGTCGGGGGGGAAATGTCTGGCTATGTTCGGTGGAAGGAAGAACGAAGCGCCCGGGAACTTTCTTTAGGTACGGAAGAGTCGTACCTCTGTGATTGTGTGCCTTCATGTTGGGTTCACTGAGGCTTGGTTGCGACGCAAGACCAATCATTTGTCTTTATTCTCTGGGCTGAGAGCTGGCAAACTGTAGGGGGACGGGACAAGCAAACTCCTCTATCAAGACCTGATCTATTTCCACAAACAATTCCGTGTATTCATGAGGTTATGCAAATTTTGATCCAGCAAAATTACCGTAATCAATTGAAACAGCGAGTGCGCATCCATGCCTCTGATTATTTGGCGATCATCTATCAGCCTGATGTCTATGTAACAAGGAGAGGGGCTCATTGAATAACTGTTGAGTTCCACTGAGAAGTCCATGATCATTGGGCAAGGGACTTTGCTCAGTGATAATAGGGCTCCTTGGTCGACAGACGGAAGTATTTCACCAGACATTAGATAGCTGTCTCTGCACTGCTGAAAGGTACTGTTTTGAAACTAAACCCCACACTGTCCAGACAATCTGGTGCACCGTGTTCTCCGTAATCTCCTATTTTTCACCTGACAAAAGGGAAAAAAGAGCCACAGGTCCAAGAGGATAAACTGAGCATGGAGGTCAGGTACAACCAAGAGACAGAAGGGAAGGGGCTGAAGAATGGACTACAGAAGGGGAAAGACGACAAGGACTCCCAAGGAAGCCTGTCCAAAAGCTTCATGAAGGAGCAGCAGGACTCCTTTTCTGCCTCTGGGACCGTGGACAACTGCGAGAAGAGCAGGGGGAGCACGGGGGACCCGGACTACTGCCGGAGGATACTGGTCCGAGGTAAGGCTGGGGCTTTTCCTTTTTTTAACTTGCAGTGTCGTACTTCAGAGATCGTAAAGATTCCTCTGAAACATTGTTTAAACTTATCTTACAATAGATGCCTTTAAGAACCAGGAAATAAGAGAGTAGCTTCAGGGACTACATGATGAGGAGGAAGCATTTGTAGTTTCATTGTGGGAAAGTTGAGACTAAGGAGGACTTCACTTAATTTAAAGTTGATAGCAAAATAACCCCTTACACATAAGCAGTTTACAATGGAGACTTTTTGTATTACAATTATATAAACATACTGTAAGAAAACTCAAAGATTTGTTATGAAAAAGAGCTTTTACATTTTTATTTAAGAATTATAGGCCAAATAAACGTCATGACCAAAAATTCTGCGCCTTCATTTTGGTCACGAGACTTTTTTTTTAGCACCATGACGGTTTCATTTTTTCTTTAGATTTCATACTTTGATAATACGTTTTAAAATCATGTTTATAGATAATTATTAAGATTTTATTATTATTATGATAAATGAACAATTCACATTTATTTTCCTGGGTACATTTAAATGTGTAAAAGGTCAGGCTTCTAACAGAAACATTCCTACAGGGTTTATGTTGTATGTGTTGCATTACACTTTGTAGTTGATAAATAATAAGACTCAAAATTCACCAAACAAAAGAAGCAGGCGAGTTTGTCTTTACAGATATTTGAGGTTATAAATTCTGTGCAGCATTTGCCCCCACAGAGCGATTTATGTAATTTCTCATGCAGGATCAAAATCAACTATAAATATAATGTATAAAACACCAAAAACTGTGGATTAGCATGACAAAATTAAATTAAACATAGCAGCTCACTACTTAAAATATAGAGAAAGAGGTTTTTGAAAAGAAAATAATTATGAATTGATGGATTTCCGCCACATTTATTCAGCACATATTTAAAAGTATAGTCAATTTAATAATATATTTGAAAGGAAATAACACATGCTTTTTGCTTTCATCTTAAAGCATCTTTTGTTGTCATTTCTCTCAGGAGTATTCTACATCAGTGAACCGACGTGAAACACATTTCAACACACGTCATTTCTGATTCACTGACTGTAATCTTTACTTCTTATGTCTTCAAATTGGTAAACACTTTAATATACATAAATGTATATTTAGAAAGTCATCTTAATTAAATTGATGTCAGATGTTGGAGTTTTCCATATAGGATTTAATTTAGATTTTCCATAATAATTACAAACATAGGATGATGTTAACTCATAGATGTAAAGGATAATTCATCAATATGAATTATATATTCTCTACAAGTACATCATGTTACATTAACTCCAAATGCACTTTATTTTACAATAAAATCTGAATTTGAATCATAACTATACATTCTCCGGACCTCCACTATGCTCCTACTATTACTTCAATATATCTACTACTACTACTACAGCTTACAACAACAACAATTATAATAATAATAATAATAATGATAATAATAACTATAATATTAATAATAAAGCACATGACCAGTGTGCACCCTGAATGAAAGGCATGTCTCTGTTGTAATTGTCTCCCCTCTCTTTATTGCAGATGCTAAAGGCTCTATCCGAGAGATCATCCTTCCGAAGGGTCTGGATCTGGACCGGCCCAAGCGGACCCGCACCTCCTTCACAGCGGAGCAGCTGTACCGGCTGGAGATGGAGTTCCAGAGGTGTCAGTACGTGGTCGGGAGGGAGCGCACAGAACTGGCCCGGCAGCTCAACCTGTCTGAAACTCAGGTATGAAAGCTGTTCACAATGGATTAAAAACATTGGAATGATTCAACTTGAATCTCAAATGCATGAGCCATAACAAATGCCTTTCTTTTAATTAATATAGTAATAATGCAAAGTGTAAATATATATATATATATATATTTTTTTTTAACAAATTACAATCATCTATTTTCAATTCAGATAATCCTATTACGATCACTTATTTGTCACAGAGAAAGGTGAATTTACACAAACAATTATTTTCACTTCACGTGTAATCAGTGACGTACATACATAATGAAATCAATTTTAGAAGATTGTTTGTATTATATTGCATTTTAAAGGTGCCATCATTTAACGTCCATATACCAAGCGGTATTCTCACACACATAATTACAGTTTGAGCAGAGATGGAAAAGGCCCGTTCTACCGGCACTACAGATGTAAACAATAATGGCATCAATAATCAATACAAATCTGAAGTGTTGTTGTTGAGTGTTAGTATTCAAAGACATGTCTATTAATTAAGTAGTGTTTGCTGTTTCCTATTCAGTGTTTTGAATACGCGATGCTGGATGCATTTAAAGATTTCACGCAGAATTATTTCTTATTGTATGTACACTGAAACTGAAACAATGACTTTAATTAAATGTATTATGTTAACAGATTTCACATAACTGTATTAGGTAAGTTGAAAGCAATTAAATGAAGTTTAAATAAAAAAAGTATTAGGTTTACCTTAATATTATTGCTTCCAACTCACCTCTTTTGACATAATACATTTATTTAAAGTCAACGCTTCAGTTTTTTCAGTGTATACATTTAAATTAAATGCATTGGCGTTTTAAATAAAGCTAGTGCGTGTCAGTACTGTATAGATTATGGAGTGTTTGACATTGAAACCTAAATCTGCTAAAATAACAGATAAAAGGCCGTAGAAGGCTGTCTCCTAATGTCCTGTCAGGGGTCAGAGATGGGTCGTAGGGTGCCTGTCGGCAGGTCAGTGTGTGTCATTCTGACTCTGGAAGACGTCAGCGTCTGTTTGTGGTCAGCTCGAGTCTCATTCATCTTTTTTGTTTTTAAATGTGCAAAGCGCCATGGGTTGGTGTGTGGTGCTAACTGTCGTAGCGCAGCGGCAGAGCTTGACCTTGAGTCTGCGAGAGGTCAACCTTTCTCACAAAGCCGCAACTCTGATCTGTTTGATGATGTACAACACGCTCACACCTCATTTTATTTATTTTACTTACTTATTCCTTTTTTATATTTGAAATATTTAACTTTTTTTATTGGACCAAAACAGCTGCTGATATTTATTTGTATTCAATACAAGGTAACTAAGTGCCTGAAGATTGTATTTGCTCACATAAAGGTATATAGAAAATTACCTTTGCTCCCTACTTATGCAGGACAAAGGCATATCTCCCAGAGTCTGACTCATGTCCTTATGTAATGACTTTTAATGACAACATGGTGAAATTAACATTTTGTTCCCTGGTACTAACGGGGTGCTGCATTAAAGAGTGACAGCCATTTGCCGTGTGCACAGCTAATCATCTTTGTTTGGGCGACCAGCTTCACCTTGTTTTCTTTGCACTTAATGTCACCTCTGACATGAGCAAGATGTTTCATGTGGGCAGTCTGTATCAGCAAACACAAATGTTGGATCTTTTTTACGTGTGATGGTGTTTATCAGCTAGTGAAGAGTTCATCCGCCCACTGAAGTGAAGGGAACATTCCGATGTGATCACACTGTCGCTGGGATTAAGATGGTAGCTTGCTGCTGATGGCTTTCTACAGAACACATTTAGTTCAATGTTAAAACAATCAGGTGTTATAACAGAAATCATACAAATGCTTTGTTTTTTTATTTTGACATGTATTCAATGAAGATTATGTGAAACTGAATAATTAATACATTTGAATAATTTAATGGATCAGTTGAGTGTGATGGATGACTTTAGCCTAATTGATAAGTTATCACTAAGAGTGCATTCCTTTTTTAATTCTTCGATTGAGCTATAAGTATTTTTGACTCCTTTGCCCTTATTCAATATACTGTACGTACTTCATGCAAAAACAGATGGAGTAGATCAAATCCTTCTCCAAAGAAGACATTTAGGATTTCTTAATTTCTTACCAGGCTCTAATTCTAGAAGCTGAATCGCCATGTTCAAAATTTGAATTGTATCTGGAAATATCTTCTGTAGACCAACAACTTAAATCATGTTTTCATGAAAAAAAATTCAAACAATTGTTTAGTCTTTAAAAAAGATTCTTCGAAAAAAATTAAATAAAACTAATTATACTCAATGTTCAATAAACTGAAATGTTAAACACAGAAAGACGTAAAGCTTACACTTATTGTTTGGAGGGTTTGGATTCTTTAGCTTTATAACTGACCCAAACAATACACTTATTATAACTTCAGCGCTAAATAGATTGCACCATACATAATTCAGCCACACGATCACAACATCAAGCAATAAACACATCCACCATAAAATATTTCAATCTGTTCTTTAATTGGCAAATCTACGGAAGAGTAGTAGTGCCACATGTGATTTTTTTTTTTTCTGATCAAAAAATGCGTTCTGCGATTTTGTTCAAAAGTCAGAGGTTTTTTTGCCAAAATTCTGACTTTAATCTCATATCTCAAAGATTTGTTTCACTTGTAGTCAGATCTCAAAAAAAGATAAAGATGTGGCATTAATCCTGTTCCGTATTGTTCATGTTTGTTTCAAAGACAAAAGGACACATGAGAGCTGAGATCTGGATCTGAACTGTTTTTAGTGTAAAAGGACCAGAGTTTAGCATTGCTGAAGAATATCACCGAGAAACTTTTGATTAAATTAACTTCCTGCTGACAGTGAGCCCTCTCCTCTGCAAATTCAATCACTGCATCCTCTGATCACTCACTGTGTGTGTGTGTGTGTGTGTGTGTGTGTGTGTGTGTGTGTGTGTGTGTGTGTGTGTGTGTGTGTGTGTGTGTGTGTGTGTGTGTGTGTGTGTGTAAAGTTGAACCTAATATGTTTGTACTTAATATTATTGTTCCCGATTAACTTATTACAGTTATGTGAAATATATCAGTTGATATGTGTGTGATATTTCACATAACATTTAGTTAAAGTAAACGTTTCAGTTTTTTCAGTGTGTGTGTGTTGTGATTGAGTAGGGAAGGACAGGCATTTGCTTTATTTGTTTTAATTGTGAACAAACTGTTTGTGTAACAGCACATCATACTCTGTGCAGTAACACATTATCAAAGCTCGCTGGAAATTACCTCCATCCTGTGAGATTTTTAGACAATAGTCCCCGTAAGGATTGCATCGACAATGTTGAAATTATCGGGCATTTGTTGTGAACACATAGCTACCAAGGCGCTATGGTTACTATAGTATCAGTGAATATGACTTGGTGCAAATGTTGTGATTACTACACCACCAACAGACATGTTTTATTTTCAATTTATCCGTATTATTGTGGAGACAAAGTTGAAACAGGAAGACCGATAGAATGACAGGCAGCAAATGGTCCCGAGCCGAATTGGAACCCGGGTCCTGGGCGTGGGGATCAGACCCCAGAACACGGGCTCCCGCTCTGTGGCCCCAGAGACATGTTTTTTAATGCTGTATTTATGTTGATATCGAAATATTTTGGATCTTTTAAAGGCAATAACTTATAAAGATGACCTGCAGTATGGTAACCTACATAGAACAAACACTCTCATCTGTGCTCCTTCCAGGTAAAGGTCTGGTTCCAGAACCGGCGCACTAAGCAGAAGAAGGACCAGGGGAAGGACTTGGAGCTGCGCTCGGTGGTCTCAGAGACCGCGGCCACCTGCAGTGTGCTCAGACTGCTGGAGCAGGGCCGTCTGCTGACCCCCCCGGGCCTGACGGGCATCCTGCCCCACTGCGGCTCGGCCCTGCGCCCCCCCTCCATGGCCCTGGCCAGCAACAGCAGCAGCAGCAGCAGCAGCAGTGGGGGCAGCACGGGCACGGCGGGGGGCAGCCCCCCCCTGCCCGCCATCAGCAGCTCAGGGACAGTGGCCGGCCTCTTCTCCTTCCCCATGCCCTCCTTACTCAGCGGCGTGGCCAACCGCATGTCCTCCAACCCCCTGTCCATGGCCGGCTCGCTGGCGGGTAACCTGCAGGAACTTTCCGCCCGCTACCTGAGCTCCTCTGCTTTTGAGCCTTACTCGCGGACCAATGGCAAAGAATCCATGGACAAGAAGATTCTGGAATGATGCTTTGTTTTCACACAGACAGATTCCTGTTTCCACTGGACACATTTTTTTTTTTTCTGGCTTTCACTGTCTTTGTTTGGTTTTGCTCATTCTCTTTCATCTGTGTCTGTTATGTTCTGTAGCAGTTCATGTATTCCAGTTGCACATCTGGCGTCTTACAAGCACAAGCTCATCTAACAAAGACAGGGGGGCGATGGAAAGATTTTGCACAAAATGTTAGCGTAGGTCTGTGTTACAGAGGTTTAGAATGACCCTGACACTCTGGGGGATCTTTCAGGTTGCTGGCAAACATGTTTAGTCCTATCTATGAATCCCAAAATAAGAATACACACAGGCAGAGAATATGGCTTCCTATACCACAAAAGCTCTATCGCTGAAAAAGAAGTGGTAAATACTGTAAAGCAGGAAGTATAGGATTGGTGACAGAAAGTGTAAAGCAACGATACCTTGCCGGCCGTGTTTCAATCAATGAATTTGTTGGGTCACTAAAGTGAGTAGAAAGCGAGTTGTCAAACACTTGAGCAGCGGTTTGTTGGATCTAATCAGCAAATTAAAAGAAAGTTAATTCAAAACGCAGCATTATGAATAAGTCCAATTTTTCATCACAGAATTGTGGGATAAAAAAAAGACCCTCTTAATAAGGTCACTGCAAGGCCAGCGTAAGCACAGACTCAATGCATCTGACATGTCAATGCAAAATGCTTACGAAGATACCTCGCAAAAATGAATCTTACAAAAATATATTTTATATATCCATCTGTATTTGGACCAAACTAAAACGTAATCTATAGAAGGTGTTGTCATGCAGTTTGATGGTTTAATTGTCAGTGTTGTTTTCTCTATGGTTTGGAAAGGATTTTAACATTTTCCAGCAAAATTCTTCACTTTGTGGCATTTTCGTCTTCAAGATGCAGTACCTGAATATTTTTGTGTGTGATTTTAACACCACTGTGAGTTTCAGAGTATTTGTGTACAGTTTCAATTCCATGCAGAAGCTCGGCAAGGGAATGAGTGTCTGAAAGGGAGCAGCTTTTCAGCATTAGTAAGCTGCTTGCTTTGTTCAACACTACAAGGTAACAGGATATTCAAACATTAGGACAATTCAATAACCGTTCCTTCCTGTGTGAACATTTCAAAACCCACAGCCTTCAACATTTTGGGCAGGCTGATGCATGTGGAGACGGAATGGAATTATTGTAGTATAAAATTACTGGAAATGAGATATGTACCTTAAAATTGTTATTTTATTGTAAATTATTAACTTCTGTATCTAATAGATTATTAGTATATCTGGAAAATAATGGATGAATGAATGTATTAGCGGGGTTGAGGAACCAATCAAAAGCTCTTTGGTGCTGTTGTTGTGAAATATCTTGAAATGTGTGAACCGTGTGGTACAATGTGCATATATATTATGTATGGCTACAGACAAAGACAAGTGTTTTTAATTTTCTTTCATACATGTTGCTGTGAATCAAGTTATGATAAAATTCATGACTGTTATACCTCATACACCAGGGCCTGATGTGTCTGAAGTCTTTTCTCCTATTTTTGGTACTGTTAATTACGATCAGAACAACAGGGGAACATTATGTAGACCTTTTGGTTAAATGCCACACTTAAAAACAACAGCTTTACACATTGGATGTTAAAAAAAAACGATTTTAGCAGTTATTTCATTTCGAGGTAGCGAAGGTCTTATTATTTGCATTCACCAATCCTCAAATATCTTTTTTTCCTCAGAAGTTTTTAATATACAAATATCTCTTGATTTTTTGTTGGAATCAGAGAACACTTTAAGAGGACCCTGGATGAATCAATGACCAACAACCTTTCCTAATCATTCTTTTTGATGATGGACCAATGAATTCATTATTATTTATATTACCTCCAGGCCTGATATTTGCCTGAAATGGCAAAGCGACTTGCGGAGGGTCAATATGTGACACATTCATGGCAGGATTCCCATGCGAACCAGAACCTTGATTTTCCATGTTTTATTTAAAAAAAAATTATGTCATTTTATTTCTCCAAGGAAAAAAACACTTTAATGTTAGAAAGGTGTTTTCTTATTCATATCAGGTCTCTGTCAATCCAAAAGTGATTTCAATATGAAAAAAACCAATTGCATCATAAAGTGTAATTGAATTGATAACAATTAATATACTGTAAATTCCAAAAACATAATTAACGAAGTTTGGCCAAAAAAAGAAAATCATAACTCTAGGTTCTCCAATAGTTTAAATCCGCAGATAAAAAAAAAAGTGAAATGTGGTTCATATATATTTTTCTGCAAAACTAATGTTAATAGGTCAGTATACTGATCCTTATCCTTCAGCATCAGTTTGCACTGCACACGTTATCATGGAGCGGAGCTGAGCTGAGGGAATGAGAGGGAACGCTTCGGATGAGGGGGGTGCAGAGGCTGAGGTGTGCAGCAGGATAACTACTGCTCCCCTCTAAAAACACCCCGCCTGAAGGAGAATTCCACAAATATCACATACTGAATCTTAGGCCCCGTCCACACGGAGACGATATCAGTTGAATCCGCTAACGTTCTCTATCGTAAAGACGGTTCGTCCACACGAGGCGACACGGAAACGCGGGTTCGGAGCCCGAATCCGATACATGTTGATGAATACACAAAGTGGGTAGGTCTGGGGACGAAACACTTGCGGCACCGTGTGCACGCCCTATACGATCATCCCTGAAAACGATGACGCCATAGCCTCGCCTCTCCCCACCTCTCCTGCTCACCCCCGCGTCATTGCTGATGCGCTTCGCCAACAACAACAACAATGGCGGATCACAGGGTTGCGTTCGTGCTCCAGACGCTACTGACCATGATACAGATTTTAGTGCAAAATCTACAGCTCCTCTACCACAACCATCAGCAACAATAATAATATAATATAATAATAATCGTCATCGGTCTTATTCACTGCTTTTGGTGTATTTTGTGGCGGAAGTACAGCGCCACTTACAGGCCCGGCATATGTACTACAGCGTCTCCAGCGGGTCGAGCGGTCTCGTGTGGACCGACACGATTCTTGAGCCGATTCCGTGTGGACGGAAGACTTTTTTGATATCGAATTTGGTTCATTTTCCTCTCCGTTTCGTCTCCGTTTGGACGCAGCCTTAAAGCCACTGGCTTTATTATGAATGTAGAGTAATTGAATCATTTACAGGAATACATTAGAAGCAACAGTCCTCTTGGGGGGGTGAGGATGTAGACCAAGATAAACTGGAGTGTGTACCATGGTGTGTATCTGCTGTGAGCAGTGCTGGAAGAACAAGTTACAAGTTAAGCATCACTCTGAGGGACTTCACATTTAATTTATGCTACTTTACTTTAATTCCACAAAATGTTTTCAAGATTCAAAGGTTTTAATGTCACATGCACATAAGTTAAAGTGTAGAAATGGCATATGAATTGGTTCTTTTCATATTCAAATCTCATTTGGATTGATTGACAGAGACATGATACTGATAAAGAACCCTTTCGAACATTAAAGTGTTTCTTCTTTGGAAAAAATAAAGATGACATCATTTATTGTAAATTAAACATGCAAAATCAACGTTCGTGTTCCCATGGGAATCCTGCCATGACTGTGCCACATATTGACCCTCCACAATTGGCTTTGCCATTTCAGACAAATATCAGACCTGGAGGTGATATAAATAATAATGAATTCATTCGTCCATCATCAAAAAGAATGATTAGGAAAGATTTTGGTCATTGATTCATCATTAAGGTCATCCTAAAGTGTTCTCTGATTCCAACTTATCCATTTGAAGGTCTTTAACCTAATACAATTATGTGAAATGTGTTGAACGTATCAGTTTTGTCAGTGTACTTTTACTTACTGTAAGTACTCAAAGCACTGCTCCCCCTCAGGCTGTTGCTGAGGAAGAGAAAATGCATTTGAATTGTGGCACACAATGTTTTGCAAATATGTTTTGCGAATATTCTAAGTTGAATCCTGTTTGTATTTGCCTTTATTCGTTTAGTTGTGCTTCTTCCGGCAGAGAAATTACTGTAGAAAATCAGGGACCGTCCAGTTGTTCCTTGAAAACTGAAGCTCTTTTGTGAGCAGACCCAAATAAACTAATCCTCCCCACTGTGTCTTGGGAATCTCCCTGAGGAAAAAAAAGGTCACATTTATGCCGCCTCCCCCCTCTACACCCCCAGCAGCCACCCCAACCCATTCTCTCCCTTCACCCCAAGTCCAATTAGAAGGAAGGTCAGGGAGGTTTTGTAAGCGGGGGGTTTCGGGGGGAGTGTGTGTATGTCTGTGTGTGTATGCACGTGCAGGGCCGTCAGAGCAGCAGACCACCAACACATTTGCTTCCATCACATGATCCGGTCTTTAAGCTCAGGTCTTAGCGGGTGAATGAAAGGCTACATCCTGTCTTGTTTTTAGTATCTGTTTTTTTGGCCTTCTGTTTGTGCGTACTGTGGATTAACACGCTAACAAATCTCAGTGAAGACGCGACCCTCTTTAAACCAACTAATCCAGCAGGTTGAAGCTCTACAGTTACGGATCTACAGGTTGTGAAAAACCTGTATAGTTCAGTCATTGTATTTCTTCATAAAAAATAATGAATCCCATTAAGTAATCAAAGAGTGAGGGGCGCGGAAACCCCTCCAAAGCAAGGGTGCCACTTGTGTTTTCGGTAAAACAACTTGCATAAAGCCATGAAATAACTGTAATTACCATACGTGTTGAAATACTACAATTTGTAATTACATCTGCAGCACCCTTGCAACTGTATTGTATTGGCATGTAGTTAGCAGTTAAGAATACCAAGATATTTTCATGTCGCTTTTACAATTTCAACAATCCTCTTGTTCTGCCCTCGCAATGTGTGGCTATGCAAAGCTAGACAGGTAGCTAACAACTTGAATCCTCCAATAATCACAAGGCTTTGGCTTTTCTTGATGTTTACTGTACGATTCTCATTGTGAAACTAGAAATAAAATACAGAAATAAAGCATACATTAGTACACATATAACTGATATACATACATTAATTCAATTAGTCTGCGTCTCATACACTCATACATGTACACAGCATCTGTATGTAATGCTAATTAAACCCATTTAACCAAACAAATACAATCCAACATTTTACCATCAAAGGCATATGAAAACAACAGCTTACTGTAAATGTAAGTGCAATAAACACACCAACATTAACAATGCAATAAGCCTAACACAG